TTGCTAAAACCCATAAGCAGCACAGCAGAAAATCATCAAATTCATTTGATAGTGTTCTGCTTGTACTTTATGATCATGACTAATCATGTGTTTATTTTGAGAGAAAAGATTTTTTATTGAAATTGTTAGGGCCCATTTCAAAGACAGAATGTTATATAATATTATAACTGAATATCCCCTGCCTAGTTTCACAGCAGATTTCTGTTTGATTCTTTCATTTCTAGGTACTTGGAATGATGAACTAGCATTTTATTGGGAAATAATCAATGTCCAACTTTATAAAAGGAGTATAAATACATGTGATTTGTCCTATCAATACTATCAATCCCTGATTTGGCCTTTGCCACTTTTACTCTTTGCTTTGGTTTAAATATAGTATGAGCCTGAACTTTTGCTCTGTGTACTGAATTAGTTCTAACTTCTTTCATTAACAGAACCTCTAGATGTTGTCATATGTTACTTGTCCCAAGTCATGACCAGATTTCTCTTTTGTGCTTGATTTTTAGGCTTTCATAATCAGTTCACATCAAAATGCCAATGCTTGCCCACATCAGTTAGGTTCTAAACTTTGTTATGATTATTCCCATTTGTGGGGAAACTTCCTTACATATGAAAACACAGGAAACATAATTGGGGGACCCTTAAAATGTGTAGATCTAATATGTAATACAGATATTTCAGAAATGTTATTTTCCCAATTTTCTGTGATTCTCTGAGATGCTTGAGAGTTGCTCTAAGTTACTAGAAATATTTTGAGGCAGAACCAGAAATCTGGATATACTTTTAAGCTGAACTACTTAATCAGGAGAATTGAATCTCTACATTAAGAAAAGAATCATTGACATCAGTTTTAATAACTGATGGATGTCTTTGAAAGTGACAGTGTTTTTGGCTACAGTTAAAGCTCTTAAACTCTTCAGTCTGCATTTTCAAGAACTAGAGTCTCATCTAATGAAGATAGGAATAAAGTTGAAAAGCTTTGAAAGAAGGGAAAGTCTCTTCCTGGACTTTTGGGAGAACTAAGTTTCAAATCAGTTTCTACAAAGTAAAGTAACTATTCAACTATGTATTTTCAATTTAAGTTTTAAAGGGTTCAGTTTGGTAGGAATTTGTCCAAATGATGAGTTATTCAACTATATCTGTTATTTTGTCAAAAGTACATGAGCCCATGGGTGATTTGGTGATGGGAAACCCAAGGGGGTTGCAACTGAGATGAAAAAATGCACAAAAATATGTAAAAATAAACTAATATAAAAATATATATAAAGCTCAAAAAAAAAAAAAGTACTGCTATCTACTTTTGATCCCCATCATGAACTTCCAGTCCTGGTTAAGGAATCCATGCTTTAATTTAAAAAGGCAAGAGAAATCCTGTCAAATATAATGTGAAAAAATAAAATGATGTAAAATTAAAGAAAGAAAAGACTATTTCTAACTAGAAACTAAGTACTTCACTCCAGTTTTAGAGATGGCGCAGCCCTTCTAACTTTGAAGGAAACATTGCTTTTTATAAACTCATTTTCCTCCTCCATTTCTTCAGTATAGGATCATTCCTATGTCTGCAGATCACAGAGCAACATGCTCATGTTGTACTGTTTAACAATTTCAGACTATCTTCTGAAAAGGTTATACAGAGCTGACTATCTGTGGTATCTTTCATAACAGCACAAATCTGAGACTCACCAGCCTACAATCACGTGAAATTCTCTCTTCTCTTGAATCTTCATCTAAATGACCTGAAATTGCTATTACCCAGAAACCGTGCTAAATGACTCTTCTTGAAGCTTTTTTTTTACTTAAATACTTTTTTTTTTTGTAATGTTATCTATTTACAAGATTAATAGTCCTTCAAGAATTCTGGCACAATACTGAAGGTGGTTTGACATAAATTGTTTTGCCCAGATATCAGTACATGTTGATACATAAAGATATATTTAACTCAAATCTATTCTTGAGGTTGTCTGTTATTTTTAAAAGGAAAAATCATTAGCATCCATAAGAACCATATAACAAACTCTAGGCCAGCTGTAAACCTGGCAATGGTCTTTATTTTAATAACATCTAATGTCATTGTCTCAGGGAGTCAAGAGTATTATAGTCTAGATTCAGGCATCGTTTTTTTTTTTTTTTTTTTTCTAGGCTTTCTATACGTCTAAACACCTTACAAGTCCTTTAACCATATTCACTTAGTGGGTTGAAAACATAACCAACCAATCTGACTTCACCCATGTTTAAATATGGTCTGAATTATCTTCTAACTAAGAATCTACTTTAAGGAAGGTGACCACATACTGCCCTTCCCAGACTATTTTCTCTGTAAATTTATGAGGGAGGCTTCTCTAACATGTGCAGTAATATACTGATGAACATTTATTAAATCTATGAACTATAAATTAAGCCCCATTCATGGGATGAAAATGTAAATAGCATTACTAACAGTTTTAGAGATGGTGCAGTTTTCTCATGCTTGTCATTTTGTAGTTTTTGTCCTTAGAGAAGCTAAATTATTTGCCCATACTCATAAAATGGGTAGATTTAGAATCTGGGTCTCACAATTAATGATCCTGTACCCACTCATTAAAAATAATGGTGATAATCATATAAGAATTACAACAACCAGGGCCTTCCTTAGTGGCACAACAGGTTAAAGCACAGCATGTTGAAGCCATCCACAACCGCTGCAGCATGAGTTCAATTCCCAGCCAGAGAGGTGACCACACACATGAAGCGGCAGACCTCTCCTGTCTCACCAGCTGCTTTCCTCAGCAGTGTATTTCAATCAGTCAGTTTGTTCTGCTCCCACTCTGTCTCTGGTGTATCCTCTCATGCCCAACGCCTCTAGCCTATACCCCAGTTCTTGTATGCATAATATAAATAGCTCTTATAAAAATTAAAACAACTAAATTAAACCACAGCAAATAGCTGCTAGCTCTTGTGATTCTTTAAATCAGTCAAGAAAAGAATTTTAACTAAAGTCAGGAGTAGGTAATCAAAATATTATTTATCAATTTATGTGTTGTTCTAGCTACTCATTGCTCAGTTAATTCTTCTTTAAAGATCTTAATGTTATTGGTTGGGTAGTTTGAGAAGGATGCCTTGAAAGTGTTGTTATTTTCCATAAAATAGTGGTAAAAATGTTAAAAACCAGGAGGGATTTATTACAAAATTTTAATTTTTTTCTTAGTGATTTAAAACTAAGCATTTAAAATACTTTTCTGTTTATGTGACAGTAATGAGCTGATTCTTATCACAAATAGATACATGGAGTAATTATTTTCTTTTGAAGTAGAATGTCTACATCTCTGTGTTTTTAACTGAATAGAAACAAACTTAATATTCATTACTTCAGTTAAAAATAAAATCACTAGGTGGATAAGCTCTTAAGGGCATATTAGCTAAGATTTCCTTTCAGATTATTTAAATTAAACCATCAAAGCTCAGTCATTTATTATAATAAAAGCCAGTAAAAATACTATTTAAAATGAAAATAATTATTTTCTATAAATGTTAGGAAGGTGGATGAACCAGCACTTGATAATATATTGTATTGATATATTTTTCCAAGTTCTTTTGCATAGTTATTTCTTGAATAAGGCACCCTTAGATTAAAGAACATGAAAACAAATTATTCACCTTTTATCCTCATGCTTAAATAATATGTTACATGCAACAGTATTATTATAGAAATGATTATCTTGTCATAAATAATAAATTTATTTTTATTTCTACTAATTTTTGAATTTTTTTCTACTAAATCATTGCAAAGACTGTCAACCTAACAGTAGTAATAGTATTAATTTTTCTAACCATGCATGATTCATTTGACCCCAGTAGCTGTAGCTTGCTTGCCTTGTTTTTTCCCTGAAATTAAAAAAAAAAGTATGTAAAAACTCAATGAACATCTGCTCTGTATAGTAAGACAGCAGCACAACTTAAGTCTTAATAAATTGTTGACATTTTATTAATTCACAATGGATTTTGGGAGATACAGACATCTATGAGTTCTCTGAACTTTCTGTTGGATGTGCACTGTTGTTAAACTACTTGTTTTTTCCCTGCCTGCTCTTTGAAGAAGTCAATTAGGAATAATGGGAAACAAGGGGTAGGCAAAACATTGCGGTGCAGTGTTATTTCCATCTGTCTGGGAATATTTCAGCCAAACGTTTATTTTGGGAAAAAAAAGCTATAGTACACTCACATACACACACACACACAAACCACAAATACTTTGGCTGCAAATTATTCTGCAGTGTTGTTGCTTGTGTCTACTCGTGTGTGTAAAGCTGCCATCCATTCATGCATGTTTGCATTCTCGTCTGTGTGCTTGTTCATGAATTAGCTGTCATCCTCCTCCTGGTTCAGGTTAAAATTAATCAAGAGAACAAGAATTTATGGGTATGACTGTTAGCTGGAAAGCTTACTCCCTTCTAAGTCTTTCTTTCAAACTACATCTTCTGCTGAAATTTGTCAAGATGAAGTATTCAGTGAGTAACCCTCTAGTCTCCTGTGTTACCTGGCTTATATTTGCCCTTAATAGTTCTTGGGAAAATAATTTAATATTGTTTTATCTCAGCTTCTTTACATCAGAAATGAAAACAGTTGGTATGAATTACCTCCCTAACAGTGAGGAGTTGAATTATTTTAATTCTGCTTGCCAAGTAACCAGGAATAAAGACATCACAGTCTCTACCCACACCTATCCCCAACATTTTGGTGGCAAAAAAGTAAAAAGAACACTATCTATTGAAACAAAATAACAGTCATTACAGAAACTTCCCTGTAAAATTGTGCTATAATTAAAAATCAACATTGCTCCAAGGTAGCTGAAATGTGTGGGTTTTTTTTTTTCTCAGTTTGCCTTTTTACTGACAGTATACCCATAATTCTTGGTGGTTATTATTGTTTTTCTCCAAAGTCAGTTTCTTCACCATTGGTGGCTGCACTCTCTATTGTTCTAAATTGTTGTCTTAACTACATTCTTTAAAAATATAATGTTGAAGGCTCATAATATTGAAGATGACTCCAGGATGAACCCTGAATTTGCTGACCGAATGAAGCAACTTGATAAAGAGGCGTCTTACTACCGCGATGAGTGTGGCAAGGCCCAGGCGGAAGTTGACCGGTTGCTGGAGATCCTCAAGGAGGTGGAGAATGAAAAGAATGACAAGGACAAGAAGATTGCTGAACTCGAGAGGTAAAGTCTGCAGTCATGTTGTGAATTGTCGACAGTGAGTGCACACTGATTGCCTTGTGGCCCGTCTCAGGCTGTGATAGCTTGGAATGCACATTCATATTTCAGCTTGGAAACAAGTTATGTATGAGGAAGATGGCCTGTTAGGGATGATGTGTTCCCGTGGACACTCAAAAGGCAAAATTGACATTTCTTTTGAATGTGTATGTGTTTCCTTAGGGCCTAAGGTATTGTCAACTCTCTGGAGGGAAGTCCATGACCTAACATTTCTGGCAGTGGTGTATGTAAGTTGAGGCTTTGACTACCTGAAACTTCAGATTTTTTCCCATCAAAGACAAGTGTTTGTGGTTTAGGTTTGTATCAAGCAAAGAAAAAGGAAAACTGTGGCTGGGAATTCGTTCAACACAGGGGAAAGGGAAAAGCGTTTATATCTTTTGGATGTTTTTGGGTACATACACCACAACAAATTCATCTTTTCAAAGGCCCTTATGGCAGTTGGTAAAGAACTGTGTTTGCATAGGGTCTGCTTGATAGCAAATTCTATCTGAAAACAAAGAAGGTTATATAAGTTCCAGAGCGTTTAGATTTTCAGGTTAAATCATATCCATATTATATTTATGTGGGGTATGGACTCTGAAAAGAAATTTCCTATCATTGCTGTTCCCTGTATTTGATATAAGGAAAGAATTTCTGAGTAATCTTACAAAACTCCATAACCTCTAAGGATTTCTTATTGGTTCAGCATAAGGCAGAATTTGTTTTTCCTATATTCAGTCCATATGAGAGAGATCAGCAAATTTTGAGTAAATCGGTGAAGGTTTGCCAACTCCGGTCAAGGCACTGTGGAGGCTCTCATAGACTTCAAGACATGCAGAAAACATGGAAAGCTGGAGGCTTTAGCAGCAGAAACACCTGGGTTCAAATGTTGCCTCTGCTTCCTGCCAGCTGCGAGACTTTGGATCTTGTTAGAAATGACTCTAGCAACCTATTAAAATATATCACTCTTTGCAAGTGCCAAGTTTCACTGCAAGGTGGGACAGGTACATCATTATGTGTTCAAACATATTCTCAATATTAAGTAGCTTTGTATTAATTAGATATATTAATTTATTAAAAATGAACATTTTCAAATATATATTTAATATATTCAAATGCCAAATCAATATTTCATTTTAAAATATTAGCATTAATTTGATGGCATCTGACTTTCATTCAGTGTGACCACTTAGAGAAATTAAAATTAGGGATTTTTTTTAACCTGAGATACGCATGCATACTAAAAACCTTATGGGCTCCATTTTAATTTAAACATATTTAAAAATAAGGGAAATTTATGCTAATCTACTGATTCTTTAACATACTGTTAATTTTAAATGTATCTACATCACTATTTTGGAACTGTATTTCAGGGCCAAAAATTTGCTTCTGAAGATTGATCTTGCCAGGAAGAGATGAATTCTAGTGTATCTTTCCTGCCTTCTAGACTACCGTTGAGTCTATGGCTCTGAGAAGCAGTGGGTCATGGAGAGGAGCCCTAGATAATGATACTGGTATCAATAATAAGTTATGTACATTTTATGTTTACATTGCACCAGGAACTCTTCTAAACTCTTGATGTGCAGTATGGTATAGCATTTAATCTTACCCACAACACAGAAAATGTCATATCCTCATTTTTAGATAAGAAAACTATGACGTATACAGTTGTAGTAGCTTTATCAAGGCATATGAATCAGAGTCAGAATTTGAACACAAGTCTGACAAATGAGTGACTGAGAACCACCCCTCCAGCAATGGGGTCAAAAGGCAGAAGCTAATTCAGTAGCACAAAACAGTCATGCAGCCGGCAGAGGCACATTGCTGCTGGGCCATGGGGATCTGCCTCATCTTTATTAGTTTTCATGAGACAAAGTGATGTGCTGCATATCTAGAAAGCATTTTTCTGCACTAACCCAGCTCCCTAAAATTGTAATAGAATATCAGGATCAGCTACTCTAAACATTTGCATAAAAATAGCATAATTGTCTAGTTGCACAATAGGTTTTAGCTGGACACTGTTGCCATTAAAACATCAAGAATATTCACATTTTTATTTCCTCAATATGGAATGCATTAAAACAACAGTGATTTTTACGGACATTTATCTTTATGTACTTTCTGCACATTTTCTTTATCTCTGCCTTTGCCTCTCCTTAAAGCTGATGCCTCCCAGGCACTGTAATTCATAAAATGTGTGGTGGGACTTGACTCTGTCCCAGTTCTCGGCCTGCCTGCATCTTGGGTCCAGCAGCAGAACATAGTCTGGGAAATGTCTGAGCCCCAGCCCCAGCCCAGGCCCCTGAGGAGATGGGGGTGGAGATCAAGAGGGGAAGTTTCTTGGGAAAAGGAGAGCTCAGCCTTGGCCTGCTTTACTGAAGCATTATCTGCTGGGTTACATGTGTATTCTGACTACAACATCTTCCTTGAACTGTCAGGCAGCCTTTTTCAAATTGGGCAGTATCGCCATTTGTTGGCTTAAGCTGCAAAATTCATACTTCATAATGTTGGGAACCAAAGATTTCTTAGCAATATGACATATATCTCCATTTTGGAGTCATGGAGGAATGTTTGCAATGAAGTTTGTGATTTTGAAAACCAAAAAAATTGAACTTGAAATAAATTTGTGGTTTCTGGTCTGTAATGTGACCTACCAGAGTAAAAAAGACCTCTTTTCAAAAAGCAGCTAGTGTTTTAAAATATTCCAGAACTTCAGTTATGTGCAGCAAAAGGTACGGGGTAAGAAAAACTCAAATGACACTGACTCTGGCTCCTCCTTCCTCAGAGGGCAGTTTGTGTTGGCTTTCTATTCTGTTAATCTTCCCATTTTGTAACTTCTCTCACAATGTATCCTTGCTAAGAGCACACACTTGGCACTTCCATGGATGCATTTACCTCTTAAATTCCATGTGAATGATGTTTTTCTTCAGCCATTAAAGATTTTGCTTTTCAAAGTGCTTATTGCTTCATCATGGCCCCCAGATGCAGGTGTGCTGTGGTCCAGCTGGGAGCCTCTGCTTGGGACTGCAGGCTGCTCTGGTGGGCTTGGGCACAGGTAGGTGAAGGACCTTGACCAGCCCCTGGTTGTTGGTCCAAATGAGGCTGAAATCATGCAATTGCCAGTGCTAGATAACATGTATGCTGTGCAATGAAGTAGCTCACGAAACATGAGAGGCAGTGAAATATGTGGTCTTCTGGTATCAGTGCTCATCTAGGTCTCTGAGCTTTATTCAGAATTTCCAGAATTCATTATTTGGTGCCTTAGGGGAAAGAGTGAGGTTAGAGGTGTTTCAGCCAGGGCCCTACTGTCACTGAGCCTGTGATACCTCACCATGGGAAGAAATCAGTCAGGTGATCTTTCATGTAATTATTTTAATTGTAGTTTTTGGGACAAATCTTTCTTAAAACATTTCAAAGAATTCTAGATGCAGTGAGAAGGTGCAAAAGGAAATGGAGAGTTCTCATGGATCCCTCCTCCACCTTTCCCCACCACTCATGTCATATTTTAAATCTATTAGGAGGTTTGTCTAGAGGCGGAGGATTCAAGTAGAGCCTCAGTAATGTGCCTCCAAACTGAAGAAGAGGTTGGGTCCCTTGAGGTTCTCCTAAGCATCAGAATAGAAAACAAGGTGATAATCATGTGCACCTGGGACTAATGCCGCCAGACATTTGGACTAGAAGAAGCATTTTCGATGCTTAAAAGCACCTTCTCTAAAGTTGATTACCAGACTATTATTTTTCCTTCTGAATTTGTTCATCAAATACTGACATAATTTCTTTGATGTGTTTCCAAACTCTTTTCAAAACATAAACTTATCCTTAACTTAAAAAATATGATAAAATGTTCTGGAGGTCCCATGGTACACGGAAGAGCCTTGACCCCAGCTCTGGTTTTATGTGGTCATTTCTTGTTAAGTAATTTCTATTAATGTTTGTTAGCTTAGTTGAACGAATATTTTAAAAGCATGCATGGATGGTTTTCCACCATCCCTAACTACCTTTTTCTTGAGGCACATGTACATCATGGCACCTTTGAAAATGTAATGAAATCTAGGAGCCATTGAAAAGGCAACGGAATCTTAAGTGCCTGCTTGCTGTTGGCCTCTGTTTGATGTACTTCTGATGCAGGTTTTGCGATGGTCGCTGGGCCCAGCTGTGCCGGAGCTTCCTCAGTGATCATGGCCTGGACTCACTTCTGTTTTCAGCCATTGTGCTCTCATGATTGGGTCAACACTTTCACTGTATATTTAATCTTGTATTTTATTTTTGATTTTTATCACTATAGTTATTGCTGTTTTCATTTGAAATATTCCTGTTTAAAAACCTTCCCCTGAGGATTTGCTTGTTTCTCTTACCTGAAATGCTTAAAAAATGCTGCTTCATAACAGGTGCACTTTCACTGAGCATCTTGGTGGTAAAGATTTTGCAAAGAGCCTTTTATAGGTTCATAGTGTGAACATCTCCTATCTGCTCCTGAGATAGCCTGAAGAAGATCATGGTGGTCCTTTTTCTTTTCAATATTGCTTGGCATTTTTGCTTGGCAAATTAGAAGGGTGTGTTAAATGTTTTTTATACAAACAGGTTATCAAGCATGTGGATATTTGCAATCATGATGTATGATCAAAATCACCCACAGTTCTGGTAGCTACCCCACCTTTTCTTGGGAGGCTAATGAGCAGACAGCACTTACCCGAAGTCTTCCTCACAGTATCTTTAATCATTCCGGGCACAGTGCTCTGTGAGCATCTAAAATGGGAATCTTTGAACAGGAAGCCAAATGCTGAGCAACTTTGGGTTTTAGAGAGGAAAGGAAAGTATTTCAGAACATAACCATCCAATTTTTTGATATCAGTGCTTACTACCAGCTCTAACACTGTAGTTAATTTTCATTTCATTTTATTGAATAATAAATTTTTGCACACACATAGATAGCAACCTTCTCTACAGATTTTCCTCCAGCAAAAGGC